TACCCGGGAGGCTGGGAGGGGAGGAAGCCGCGGGACCCGGGGGGGGGGCTTTCGCAGAGAGCAAACCCCCCCCCCCCCCCCCCCCCCCCCGGGGAAAAAGGGAACCCCCCCAAAAAAAAAAAAAAAAAAAAAAAAAACATGACCACTAGCTGAAGGAGTATTTGACCTTGTGACCGTAGACACAGCCATCCATAGATCACACGTGTGTGTAACAGGCAAAATGGTGAAAATGGCTGATTTGATTTCTCATTCCTGCACAGTTTTCTGTCGTGATTCACTAAATGACTTACTGTTGGGTTATGTCCCACAGTTAAAAACATGACCCAGGCTCTGCTCTGCTGCTCACCTTGGGTTGAGTACTTAGTGTGGGCCAGGCACATTTTTCTAGTGGTCCCGATTCACTGTGAGGACATGGGAGCCCAGAGCTAGAGCAGGGGTTATTATTACTAACTTGGGAGGGGCAGGAGAGGGGATCCTGGCAGCTGGACGGAGGTGCTGACTGCAGCTACTCTCCCCAAGGTGAAATTCATGAAAAGCAAGCCAGGGGCCGCCATGGTGGAGATGGCTGATGGCTACGCTGTGGACCGGGCCATTACCCACCTCAACAACAACTTCATGTTTGGGCAGAAGCTGAATGTCTGGTAGGTGCTCAGGCTAGGGAGGGTGGCAGAGGTACAGGGCAGAGAAAAGGAGGGGAACGGGGCCCAGCAGAGGAGCACAGTGAGGCCAAGGTGTTCACTCACACAGAAATGGGGTGTGGCAGGTGTGTTCCCAGATGTTTCTCTGACACCACAGGAGAAAGTGGGTCAGCCTTGCCTCAGCTGTAGAGCAGTGCCCCAAGGCACACAGGGCAAGCTGAGCCTCTGGAGGCCACAGGGGAAAGCTTGGGGGACAACTTTGGGTATGACAAAGGCTCGCCTTTCTTCCCTCTTGCAGTGTCTCCAAGCAGCCAGCCATCATGCCCGGTCAGTCATACGGGTTGGAAGATGGGTCTTGCAGTTACAAAGACTTCAGTGAGTCCCGGAACAATCGGTTCTCCACCCCAGAGCAGGCAGCCAAGAACCGCATCCAGCACCCCAGCAATGTGCTGCACTTCTTCAACGCCCCGCTGGAGGTGACCGAGGAGAACTTCTTTGAGGTTTGTGCTGTGGAACTACACAGGCAGTCAGGTCCTCACCACGGCCGCCTGAGTAGGCCATTCATTTCAGTTTTTTCTGCAACTAGCTCCTATTTGCAGAGTTGTTGAACTCCTGTGCTGCCTGGCCCTGGGTTGAGTGCTAGGGACACAGCAGAGGCCAGGACAGATACAGATCCCTGCTCTGAAACTGGAAAGGGTGAGAATGGCACCAAGTTCCTAGCAATACCGTTTGCCGCGTTCCTTCCTTGCATTTTTGGCAAGCAGAGCAACTGCTCATTTGCTGGGAAAGCTGCTTCCTAGGCCCAGTGATCAGTTTCACAAGAACCGCATTGGCAGAGCCTTGGGGTGCCATCACCCTGATACCATCAGAAGGTGGGGCCCTGTAAAGCTCAGTCGGGCAACTGAGGCAGCAGGAAGGGAGGAGGAACTCAAGTGGATCTGGTTGTGGTATGAAATGTTGGCCTTGCGTTCAGCAAATAGGATGCCCAGATAGCTGTTGAGAATGGGAGACGAAAAAAGAAAAAGCAGCCTTGCAGTCTCAGGCAAGTTAATAATTAAAGAGCATTGTTGCTGGGATGCCTTTAGGGTGTGTGATAAAATCTACAAGCCTTGTCTCCCGAAAACTTCAAATACTGAGTCACGCAGGGCCTGGTCTGCAGGGCCTGGTCTGCTTGAATCCTGTGTGAAGGCCCTTTTGTTCCAGAGTTCATTTACTACCTATTTCTTTTGCAGATCTGCGATGAGCTGGGAGTGAAGCGGCCATCTTCTGTGAAAGTATTCTCAGGCAAAAGTGAGTCGAGTGCGCCCATATCTTTCCCCTAGCTACTTGGTGGTTGGTGGGCAGCTGCCTAGTTCCTACTGGGTCAGTCTAAAACCGTTGCTTTTCCCCTTTGCAATCAGGTGAGCGCAGCTCCTCTGGACTGCTGGAGTGGGAATCTAAGAGCGATGCCCTGGAGACGCTGGGCTTCCTGAACCATTACCAGATGAAAAACCCAAGTGAGTATCTGTGAGTCCTGCAGGCATCAACTTGGTGACCTAATGGGTTGGCTGGCTTCAGGCCAGGGATGTCTTTCCTGCCCTTAAGATAGGACCCCGGGGATCTTCTCACTGCTGGTGACACAGGCAGGTGGGACCTGCTCACCTGGAGAGCAGCCTGTGCTCCTCATGGGAGAGAGCCAGCCTGACTACCTGCTGCCACTCTGCCAGCTTGGGAGTTGCTCAGGCTTGTCCTGCAGGGAGGTGGCGTTCTCTCTTTGCATCAGAGACTGGTTTAGGTAGGAAAGCCACTCTGTTATCTAGGAAAGAGGCAACACTATCCAGCAGGTAAAACTTGCCCACCCAGTTGCTGGGAGAGGCCCACTGCCTTGGGCTGGCAAAGGACATAGGAATGGAATTCTCTATGGGAATGAGGGAAGAGAAGGAGAAATGCCGTGCATAATTAATAATTAGCTCATCCTGAAGCCTCACGTTGGGCAGTCACTTCCTAGACCCCTGCAGTTGACCTGCAGAAAATGGGAGATGGGTGCCAAATTGAGGGGACCTGGGTTTGGGGAGCCTCCAAAGACGGGACCCAACCAAACTTCTCTCTCCTTTTCAGATGGTCCATACCCTTACACTCTGAAGTTGTGTTTCTCCACCGCTCAGCATGCCTCCTAATTAGGTGCCTAGGAAGAGTCCCATCTGAGCAGGAAGGCATTTCTCTTTCCTTTATGCCATTTTTTGTTTTTTGTTTTTGTTATTTGCAAAAGATCTTGTATTCCTTTTTTTGTTTTGTTTTGTTTTTTTAATGCTAGGTTCTTAGAGGCTTAACCTTAATGGAAACGCTGGAAGTCTGCAGGGGGAGGGAGAGGGGAACTGATATCTCCCAAGATTAACCTTCACTTTTAAAAAATTACTGTACATGTGATTTTTTTTTTTTTTCTTTTTCCTGTTCATTCATTTGTGCTGCCCATGTACTCTTGGCACACACATTTCAATAAAATTGTTTGGAAAATAAACACAGCACTTGCTGGGATTCCAGGATGTCTGCTTTCCTCCCTGTCTATCCTGAAGAGACTCGAGCAGGCCTGGGCACAGTCGCAGGCCCTCTGGAGGCATACCGAGACCTGAGAGGAGCAGGGTGGGCTGCAGACTGAGAATGGTGCTAGCAGTTGAGTCTTTGAGGAAAATCCAGCAGGCTTAGTGGCATTCTTACTGGGCCCTGCCCAGGCAAGCTCTGTCGGGCGCAGTGGGTCATCACACCTATAATCACAGCACTTAGGGGAGGCCAAGGCGGGGCAGATAATTGGAGCTCAGGAGGTGAAGACCAGCCAGGGCAGCATGGTGAAACCTTGTCACTACGAAAAAAGTTGAGGTGGGTTTTGCGGAACACCTGTAGTCCCAGCTACTCAGGAGGCTGAGGCGGGTGGGTCAGTTGAGCCTGGGAGGTTAACACTGCAGTGATCACACCACTGCACTCCAACCTGGGTGACAGAGCAAGACGCTATCTCAAAAAAAAGTTTCCAGCCTTGCCATCATGGTGAAACCTCGTCTCTACTAAAAACAAACTAGCTGGGCATGGTGGCACGTGTCTGTAGTCCTAGCTACCTGGCAGGCTGAGGTGGAGCACCCCAACCCAACGAGAGGGTAAGGCTGCAGTGAGCTGTGACAGCGTCACTGCACCCCAGCCTGGGCAACAGGGTGTCAAAAAAAACCCCCAAAACCTTGGTGGTCTGTATCATTTCAGAGTGACTTGTCTTTGCCCTTACAGTATCATTGTGTGGGTGTGTCATGATTTACTCAACCTGGTCCCAAAGGGTAATTTCCAGATCTATTTTTGCTATTGTAAACAGCACTGTGACACGTATCTTTACACAAATACCTTGGTCAGCTTCACTGATACTGATGAGGAGGTAAATTCCTGCCAGTGGAATTGCTGAGTGGCCCATTCCTGTAATCCCAGCACTTCGGGAAGCCAAGGTGCAGACCACTTAAGGCCAGGAGTTTGAGACCAGCCTGGGCAACATGGCAAAACCATGTCTACAAAAAATACAAAAGTGTGCTGGGCGCGGTGGCGCAAGTGCCTGTAATCCCAGCACTTTAGGAGGCTGAGGTGGGCAGATCACCTAAGGTCAAGAGTTCGAGACCAGCGTGACCAACATGGTGAAACCCTGTCTCTGCTAAAAGAATAAAAATCAGCTGGGCATGGTGGCACGTTCCTGTAGTCCCAGCTACTCAAGAGGCTGAGGCAGGAGAATTGCTCAAACCTGGGAGGCAGAGGTTGCAGTGAGCCAAGATTATGCCATTGTACTCCAGCCTGGGCGATGAAAGTGAAACTCCATCTCAAAAAAAGAAAAGAAAAAAAATGTGGGCATAGTGGCATGCACTGTGCCTATAGTCCAAGCTACTCATAGGGGCTGAGGCAGGAGGATCGCTTGAGCTGTGATGGCACAACTGCACTCCATCCTGGGCGAAAGGGCCAGACCATGTTTCAAGACGTAAAGGATCTATATAATTGCAACATATGGTAGATAACTTCCCACTTGTATAGATGCAAACCTGTGAAGATGCCTTGCAATGGGGGGTACCACCTGGAAGGATCCTGGTTGAAGGATTTTGACTGCTACTGGAGGGAAGAGGTGACTTGCAGAGAAGCAGTTCATAAACCTTGAAGTTTATGCATGTGTGCTTCAGAATAACCCACACTGGGAATTTACTGTGAATAAAATTTTCTTTTTTGAGATGGAATCTTGCTCTGTCACCCAGGCTGGAGTGCAATGGCACAATCTCGGCTCACTGCAACCTCCGCCTCCCAGGCTCAAGTGGTTCTCCTGTCTCAGCCTCCCAAGTAGTTGGGATTTTTTTTTTCCCCCCAGAAAGTCTTGCTCTGTGGTCCAGGCTGGAGTGCACTGGCACGATCTTAGCTCACTGCAAACTCTGCCTCCTTGTTCAAGCAATTCTCCTGCCTCAGCCTCCCAAGTAGCTGGGATTACAGGCACGTGCCACCATGCCTGGCTGACTTTCGTATTTTTAGTAGAGGGGGTTTCACTATATTGGCCAGACTGGTCTCGAATTCCTGAGATCCACCGGCCTCGGCCTTCCAAAGTGCTAGGATACAGCCGTGAGCCACTGCGCCCGGCCTTACATTGTTAACATTTAATGACGTCACAAAAGCGCCATTTAGCAGATAAACAACTTTTGCTTCACTATGGAACTTTCAAACAATCTCTAGACAAGGAAAAACCACAGTCCTCTTACAGCCATAAATAAAATCAAGTAGGGTTTATTGTTTTTAAGCCAGTCAAGGTGATTTAGGCCGGGTGCGGTGGCTGAAGCCTGTAATCCCTGCACTTTGGGAGGCCGAGACGGGTGGATCACGAGGTCAGGAGATCGAGACCATCCTGGCTAACGCAGTGAAACCCCGTCTCTACTAAAAAACACAAAAAACTAGCCGGGTGAGGTGGCGTGCACCTGCGGTCCCAGCTACTCGGGAGGCTGAGGCAGGAGAATGGCGTAAACCTGGGAGGCGGAGCTTGCAGTGAGCTGAGATCCGGCCACTGCACTCCAGCCTGGGCGACAGAGGGAGACACTGTCTCTAAAAAAACAAAACAAAAAAAAAAAAAAGGGTGAATTTTACCAGTTTCTCTCCTAGCATCCGTTTTCATTTCCTGTTAACAGTTTGAGTCTTCTTCCAGAGATATTATATACATATGCCATATTCTGTGCATGTCCAGCATGTCCAGCTATACTTTTTTTTTTTTTTTTTAAAGACAGAGTCACTCTCTCACCCAGCCTGAAGTGCTGGAGCATAGTGGCATGATGTTGGCTCACTGCAACCTCTGCCTCCTGGGTTGAAGCAATTCTCCTGCCTCAACCTCCCAAGTAGCTGGGATTACAGGCACCTACCACCACGCCCCACTAATTTTTTTTTTTTTTTCTTTCTTTTTTTTTTTTTTTTTTGAGGCCCAATAGTCTTGCTCTGTAGCCGGGCTGGACTGCAGTGGCCGGATCTCAGCTCACTGCAAGCTCCGCCTCCCGGGTTTCACGCCATTCTCCTGCCTCAGCCTCCCGAGTAGCTGGGACTACAGGCGCCCGCCACCTCGCCCGGTTTTTTTTTGTATTTTTAGTAGAGACGGGGTTTCACCGTGTTAGCCAGAATGGTCTGATTTCCTGACCTCGTGATTTTAGTAGAGACGGGGTTTCACCGTGTTAGCCAGAATGGTCTCGATTTCCTGACCTCGTGATCCGCCCGTCTCGGCCTCCCAAAGTGCTGGGATTACAGGCTTGAGCCACCTCGCCCGGCCTTTTTTTTTTCTTTGAGACCAAGTCTCCCTCTGTCTCCAGGCTGGACTGCAGTGGCGCTATCTAGGCTTACTGCAAGCGCCGCCTCCCAGATTCATGCCATTCTCCAGCCTCAGCCTCCTAAGTAGCTGGGACTACAGGCGCCCGCCAACACGCGCGGCTAATAATTTGTATTTTTAGTGGAGACGGGGTTTCACCGTGTTAGCCAGGATGGTCTCAATCTGCTGACCTTGTGATGCACCCGCCTCGGCCTCCCAAAGTGCTGGGATTACAGGCGTGAGCCACCGCTCCCGGCCAGCAGTTTTAAAGTACTTTTTATGCCTTCGGATAGCTGGCTTTTCCCAAGGGAGTTTCGCTTTTTTTTTTTTTAAGAACATGAACTTTTTTTTTTTTTTTTTGAGACGGAGTCTTGCTCTGTCGCCCAGGCTTGAGTGCAGTGGTGCAATCTCTGCTCATTGCAATCTCCGCCTCCTGGGCTCAAGCCATTCTCCTGCCTCAGCCTCCCGCTGGGATTACAGGTGCCGGACACCACACCCAGCTAATTTTTGTATCTTTACTAGAGATGGGATTTCGCCATGTTGACCAGGCTGGTCTTGAACTCCTGACCTCAGGTGATCCGCCTGCCGCGGCCTCCCAAAGTGTATTACAGGCATGAGCCACGCGCCGGCCTAAGAATATGAACTCTGGAACCATGTAATCCTACTTTAGCCCTTCTGAAGCCCAGCGACCTTGAACCTCGTGTCTTCCCGTGCCTGAGTCAGTTTCCTCTGCGTATAGTGGGAAACAGTACGACCTCCCGGTGGGAGTTCATATACAGTCAGCACTTAATGTTGGCCCGTCTGTACTCATTCCTTTACGTGGGTAAACTCACAGTAATGCAAGTTTTATTTTTAGTTAACATGATATATACACATGCATGATGACAAGCTCTGCTGCCATTATGTCCTTGGACGTTTCAACTGTCGCCAATTATTCCACCATTATGAAACAGCGGTGTCATGAACTTTAGCGGGAGCTATTTTCTTTTCCTTTTATTTTTTTTTTTGGACTGAGTCTCCCAAGCTGGAGAGCTGCAGAGCAATGGCTCTATCTCGGCTCACTGCAAGCTCCGCCTCCCGGGTTCACGCCATTGCAGGAGCTATTTTCTCAGGCCAGGTTCCCACTGGGGCAAAGGGTCCTTTCCTGAGCTTGGCTCTAACTATGTAAGGCAACCGGAACTCGGCTGCCCTTAGTAAAGATGGCGGGGAGAACGGCGTCTTTGCCTGTCAGGCTGCGGCATCGGTGCCCTCGCTCAACATGGCGGCCGTTTGTGCCCGCCCCCTCCGCTAACTGGTGAGTTACTCGGTCCCAGTGCTGTAGACGAAGGCGGCGGCGATGGCGGCGGGGATAGTGGCTTCTCGCAGACTCCGCGACCTACTGAGCCGGCGTGAGTCACCTCTTGACATGGGGGTGTATCGCGCTGTCGTGCTGTTATAGCAGCTGTAGGACGGGGAGGCCCATCCGGGGTCACGAAGGGCCCGAGTCCCCTAAATTCAGGGGTGCGTGTGTTCCCTTTTGAAGGGCTCCCTAATTCTATAGGCCTGTGTCTTGGAGTCTGGGGTCATCAAAGGCTCTTCCTTTCTCCGCAGGATTGACAGCCTCCAACTACTCGGGCCTCAGTGTTAGCCTTCGCCTCACTGGCTCCTCTGCACAAGAGGAAGCCCCAGACCACAGCTATGAGTCCC